GCGACCTTGAGCGTCCTCATACGGCCAGCAGTGAAGGACCATGTCTCAGATCCGTAAGTCATCACTGGCAACACGCACTGGTTATACACTTTAGTTTTCAGAGATTGAGGTATACCTGACGAGAAGATGTGTCGTAATTTCCCGAACGCTGTCCAGTCCTGTCGAGTTGAATCCGTCGATTGACCTCTCGGTCGAAGTTGGACTTACCTAGTCGGACTATTTGTCCCAGGTAAACGTACTCGTCAACAACTTCGAGCATAGTGCTCCCAACAGCTACCGGCATAGGTGTGACATGGACTTTAAACATGATCTTTGTTTTGTCCATGTTCATCTTAAGACCTATCCTACGGGATATACTATTGAGGTCTATGAGTATAGTGCCAAGGTACTCCATAAGGACTATATCGACGGCAAATCGAAGATGAGTGATGTACTCACCACTTACTTGACCTCGTATTGAGGCCTTGTCACGAAGATTACACTTTGACTGCGAGTCCAATAGTGATTAACGCTTATCACGTAATCCGTAATTTTTATATTTAAATCCAATAGCTGATTTTTGCCCGACGCGAGATCCGAACGCGGAACCCCATAATCAGTAGTAGTGCTTACGACCACAAAACTAACGAACAGTCTCGTACTCAATGAAATAGTGTATAAACAAAAAGTTACAATTTTATTAAGTACAAGTAGAAACAATTCAAATAAGTACATAAGTATTTTATGGGGATTGTAAGCAAGGCCTTACGCTAGAAACATGTTACTACACGAATGAAAAGTATGCTTGTTATTCTCGTTTTCATTTTAGGTAAGTCTGATCTTTCAAAAGAGTTTAAGACTTCCATCAAGCTGGAAGTGAAACGTTATTTTTTTTTTCATAATATAATAAAGGTGATAACAAGCACACAGTCCACCTGATGGTAAGTGTATGCTGTGGTCCATAAACATCAGCCTGTGTCTTCTATTAAGAATCAAAATGCAAATGCGTTGTCCCCCATGAGGACTATAAAATAATAATAATAAAATAAATTTTTATTCAATGTAGATTACACGTAATGCTTATTGAAAGTCAATATTTTACGTTACCACTGGTTCGAAAAAAACCTCTGTCCTGGGGAGAACCAGCAAGAAACCCAGGGGGACTTTTTTTCAAATAAATTTTATAATGTCAAGGGTCACAAAATATTTACCAAATTTATTTTAGAAACAGCTTGGAAGCCACCACCTCATATCCAGGTGTTATTATCAACCACGTATTCATTTTTGTCATAATAACCCTTTTTATACAGTTTTTGTTTAATTAATTATTTAAACTTGGTAATAGAGAGACCTTGTATACTTTCTGGGACTTTGTTGTAATAGCGTATACAATGCCCCAAGAATGAATTACTGACTCTGTGGAGTCGAGAAACTGGTAGCACCAGCTTGTATTTGTTTCTAGTGTTTACAGAGAGTATGTCACTTTCTTTACTAAAACTATCTTTATTTTATTTTGAATGATGAAGTTTCGAATTTAAACAGATGGAAGGAATACTTTGAAAGCGTGTTTATGAGTGAAGAGTCGTCTGAATTAAATGAACAAGAAATTCCGAAAGAAGTGGAAAGGGGTATGGAGATAAGCGTAATGAAAGCAATGAAAAGCATGAAAGCAGGTAAGGCAGCTGGATATGCTAGAGTATCACTCGAGATGCTAAGGGCTGGAGAGGGAGTGGTGGCAGGCCTGCTGTACACCTTGTTTAATTTGTGTTGGGAATTAAAACGGGTACCGGATGACTGGTGTAAAGCAGTTATAGTACCAATATATAAAGGAAAAGGGTCACAGCAGGACTGCAAAAACTACCGTGGTATCAGCTTGCTTAGTATTGTGGGTAAACTGTATACTAAGGTGTTAATTGAAAGAGTTATGAAAGAAACTGATGGAAAAATTTGGGATGTGCAAGCGGGTTTTAGAAAGGGAATGGGGTGTACAGATCAAGTCTTTTCTATGCGCATGATTGTGGACAAGTTTTTGGCTAAAACCCAGAAAGTTTTTTGTGCGTTCATGGACTTGGAAAAGGCTTATGACAGAGTGGACAGAAATGTGTTATGGCAAACACTGAACTCATATGTGTTGAGCGCTGGTTTGATACAGGCATTGAGGTCTTTTTATAGGGATTCTAGTGCTTGTGTCAGGATCAATGGGGTCTACTCGGACTGGTTTGGCATCCGAAAGGGTGTCAGACAGGGCTGTGTGGCTTCCCCTTGGCTGTTCAACTTATTTATGGACAGGTGTTTGCAAACTTTGAAAGAGGAAGAATGTGGGTTAAGAATGGGCGAGTTAACCGTCAAATGCCTTTTATATGCCGATGATCAAGTCATATTTGCGTCATCGGCGGCTGAGTTGCAAGTGATGGTTACATGAATGAACTGGGCATTAAAAGAAAGGGGATTGAAAGTGAAAGCAAGTAAGACGTAAGTGATGGTTTTTAAAAGAGAGGAAAGTAAAACGGTATGTGAAATAAGAATAGAAGGAGAGTTAATTGAGCAAGTGGATGAGTTTGTGTATTTGGGATGTGTATTTAGCAGGGATGGTAGATATGATAAGGATATAGAACGACGAGTAAATGCAGGGAATAGAGTGAATGGGGCACTACACTCTAATGTGAAGAACCAGAATGTATCAAAAAGGCACGTGTGGTAATTCATAATGCTGTGTTAGTCCCTACTTTAATGTATGGTAGTGAAAGCTGGGTGTGGCAGAAGAAGCACGAAAGTAGAATAAATGCTGTAGAAATGCGGTCTTTAAGGCGCATGCTAGGGTTGAATCTGAATGACAGGGTGAGAAATTGCGTGATAAGAGATAAATGTGGTATGCAAGATGATGTTGTGACCAGGATTAAGAAAGGAATGATTCGGTGGATTGGTCATGTAGAAAGAATGAATGATGAAAGAGTGACAAAGCAAATTTATATGGCAGATGTGAACGGCAGAGTCGGGGAGGGACGCCCTAGAAAAAAGTTTATCGACCAAATTGGCGATATTTTGAAAATGGGCCACGTTAAAAGTACCCTTAACCGACGAGCATGTATGCGTAGATTTATGGATGTAAAGGAGGCGAAAGAGGTATGTCAGGATCGTGTCCAATGGAAGTCCGTGGTCTCTGCCTACCACTCTGGGTGACAGGCGTGAGTGTTTATGCATTATGCATTATACTATCTTTATTTTTGTGAACATACATCAAATTTTCATAGATATACTGAGAGGTTAAAGTTAATATATTTATTTCTTTAAAATTTTCTCTAAGAGACACTCTCGGCTTAGATTGTAAATAGCTCTAATGGCCCTCTTCTGCAAAACAAAAATAGTTTCTAAATCAGCCGCATTCACCCATAGCCAAATTCCTTATGACATTATGCTATGGAAATAACTGAAACAAACTAATCTAGCTGTCTCGACATTAGTGAGACCTCTAATCTTTTTTACAGCATAAGCTGCAGAGCTTAGTCTGCTTGCTAGTTTAGATATATGGGGGTCCCACTGAAGCTTAGCGTCGATAGTGATGCCAAAAAAACAGAGGACTCAGTTCTTCCCCATTTAAAAACACATTGGTACTCGGATTATTAACATTTGTTGTTGTAAATTTAATACATTTAGTTTTATTTCCGTTTAAATGTAGATTATTAACGTTAAACCAATGCACTAATTTCGATATAGCATTATTCACTTCGTCACATATAAATGATTGACGTTTAAGTTTAAAAATCAAGGAAGTATTCATCAGCAAATAATACTATATCATGATTATCCCCTACAAGGGAGGGTAAGTCATTAATATACACTAAAAATAGGAATGGGCCAAGAATTGAGCATTGAAGGACACCCATCTGTACGGGCCATCCGGAAGAACTTTTACCATTGATAATAACTTTCTGCACTCTATTACTTAAATATGAAATAACTAGTTTAAACGCTGTGTTCTTGACACCATAGTACTGTAGCTTCCTGATTAATGTCCCATGGTGAACACTCTAGGATGGAATGCCTCGTTTCCGGTCAAAAAGGTCTCCGGTTCTCTACACTCACCGTACAAAACACAGCAGCATTAAGCTGCTGTTTTACGCTGGTATTCTGTGAGAGCGTGGTTCTTCCCCGATCGAACCGACCCATTCATGCTGCAACCATAATAGCTGCTTTTTTTTAATTTTTCACTCAAATCTTATCTCATTAATTTTCACCTTCACACATCTAATATTTTTCAAGCAATCTGAGTGCACGTTAGTTTTATAATTTAATTGAAATACATAGTATATAAGAAGATTTGCAACACTATCGTAGAGGGTTTGTTTAGTCTGTGATATTTGATAAGTGTACGTGTGCGTGTGTGTGTGTGTTTTGTGTAGGATATGGTGACAAAAGAGCACACAGTCCACCTGATGGTAAGTGGTTGGTGCAGCCCATAGACATCTTCGATCGATTACGAATCAAAATGCATCGTGATCCTTCCCCGGTCGAGCCGACCCATTCTGCTATAACTATACTACTAATATAAATGCAGCATGCAGCGGAAATGCACCACGCATTAATACATGTGTGAGTGTGTGTGTGTAAACAAATTAATAAATAAGTATTGCAGTTTTCGTTTCAAACAAAATTGCTGCATACGACAATGACCACAGCTTGGAAGAAGTATTTTCCGTCCAGAGTAAAAATGCAGATCTTGTAAAACTACACCCAGTCATCAAAGAGCATAGAGAAGAACTGAAAAGGCTAATAAAGGTTTTAAACAATAAAGTGGGTGCACACTCGAAAAAACCGATAGTGAAGTTGCAGATGGTGAGTGAAATTGACAACGATCTGTAACGACTCGCGTATACATGTAATAATAATATAATAATATATAATAATAATATATATATATCTTGCGCTCAAATATATTTGATGTCGCCGAACTCGAACGGCTACGACGTGAGGCTGTTCCCTCGTCGGATGAGAATGCTACGGCTGAGGATGCGGCGCCACAAATGGTAGAGCAACCCGCAAACGTGGATGCCGCCGTGAATACCCCAGTTGTGGTTGATTCAAACGATGATGGAACAGTCGCCCAGGAACTGGAATTAGAGCATATGAGGAGTACATTGGAAGAGGCGATTGTGGAAACGCGCAGTACGCCTCTGGAAAATCGACCGCGACTTCCCCGCATAGCCCTAAGCAAGCGGAATCGGGCTGTCGTGAGGGCTCTGAACCCAATGCTGGTGACCTATTTGGAAGCCAGCCGGGACCTTTGCGAGACGGATTCAATTCTTTTTGGCGCCGCGCTGGCAGTCTGCCGTATCATAGGCGCCAAGGTTTCCACGGCTGGACGCGCTACTGGCCATAGTAGCGCTATCCCAGCATGGAGAAGAAGAATTGAGGAACGTATCGCAAAGGCTAGAGCTCTCATCGGCAGACTGATATGCTTCAGATCAGGCAACAACAGGCCAAGAATTGTGCGCACCGTCAGGATGGCGTTTGCTGGGACAAATGTCAGTTTGTCCCAGCCGGATATAACGCAAAAACTGACGGAGCGCATAGATGCTCTGAAGCAGAGATCGCTGCTTGGGGAAAGCGGATTCGGCAATATACCGAGAGGTCGACACGGTTCAACCAGAATCGTCTCTTCCAGAGTGATCAGAAGAGGCTCTATGAATCATTGGAGCGACCAATGGTAAGTGGAACGGGTCCAGCACCGAATCAGGCCGACACTGTAGCATTCTGGCGCGGCCTGTGGTCAGAGCCCGTAAACCACAACGAGGGCCCCTGGACGGAAGTTGTGGCGAGGCAGTGTACGGGTATTACGCCCATGGACCCCGTCATCATAACGCCGGATGACGTAGCTGAGGCGGTCCGTAGGGCCCCGAACTGGAAAAGTCCGGGGCTTGACGGGCTGCATCACTACTGGCTGAAGGGGTTCATGGTGTGTCACGCTGTGCTCGCCCGACAGTTTCAAGAGGCTCTCAACCAGAAGTCGCTCCCAAGCCTCTTCACTACTGGGATCACTCATTTGGTTCCTAAAGATCAGGATGCCACAGACCCGAGCAAATACCACCCCATCACGTGTCTACCGACCATATACAAGACACTAACATCCATTTTGAGCGCGAGAATCGCTCGTCACCTGGACTCTAATCAGGTGATGTCGCGCGCTCAAAATGGATGTCGGGGCGGCGGTCGTGGAACAAAGGAACCACTCCTCATTGACGCGGTCATTGGCAAAGTGGTGAAACGCAACCGTCGGAACTTCTCCGCCGCCTGGATAGATTACAGAAAGGCATTTGACTCGGTGCCCCATACATGGCTGAAGAGGGTCCTCGAGCTGTACAATATTGACTGTACAGTTCGAGACTTCCTCGAGCAGTGTATGGGGCAGTGAAGTACGATCCTCTGTCATCTAGGTGAGCGGATGACGGCAGCGGAAAGCCGCATAACCTCTCGTCAGTCCAAAACCTTCTAAAGGTTGCTGTCAAAAAGTACGCATCTGTCCACAACCATCAGAAGGTTGCTGGTTACTTATAAACTTCAGATTCGAAACAGCCCTAGTAAAAGTATACGTATCTCCCTATAACTGGTACAACATGCAGAGAATTAAACAAAGACGGCAATTAATATCACACACGCTTCATAAACCAACCATAGAAGCTGTGAAATAGTAATACATTTATTCCGTTCAGTTGCTCGTTCTGTGACGCGGTGTCGTGTGTTTACGTGCAAAGTATTAATTGTTGAAAGTGATTTCGGAAGTCAATATTAAAGATAAACATGAATGGGTAAGTCATAAATACTTTTCTATTAATATAAAATATATTAGATGACGATTTGTACATAAATTGTTCCATTTTATCAAACATTGCTTGCCATTTCGACCGCCATGTTGAAACCATGATCGTATTAACTTCAATTGTTTTAAATTAAAAGTACAATTGTGAATGGTAAAAATTGTCTTAATATCGTTAACATACTTATTTACAAACATAACAATAATTACAATTGTATAGTTTCGATTAAATATTTCATAAAACTAAAAATAACAAATTGCTTAAATCTCTCGTCCACCTGGCGGTTGTGGACAGACATGGGTCGTAAAGTTATTCACATGAAATCCGCCATCTTAGAGAGCAGGTTGTATAGTATGGATACGACTTTGGGAATGCCAGTGTTGGTATATTTTTACGATAATTTTTGGTGTGGATTTTTATTTGTTTCGTTTTATTTTTTTGTCAATAAATTGTTTTACTTTTTGTATGTGCATGTCATTATATTTTTTTGCACTTGATTGACAAGTGAAACACTCTTTGTTTTCACTCTTAGCCCAAGGTTATCTGGAAGAGATTGCTTTTTTGTACGTAGTAGTTTTTTATTGCTAAGCAATAATCCTTAGCTCGTTGCGGTGCTATAGTTGGAATAGCCTCAAAGTACGAAACGGTCACCCATCCAGTTGCAAGCTAACGCGTGCATTGCTTAAACTTTATTATGGATCTCGCACGCAAGCTATCACTAGGCTAGGGTCACTTCAAATTAAGTAAAATTAAAAAAATCTAAATAACAAAAATATAAATCTTTATTTTGGCAAAAAGAATTGTCAAACATTTTTTATAATAACATTCAAATGTTAATTAAAAATATAAAAAGCAAAGAAAAATAACTAATTTGTATTTCATTTTAATTTTATGTTCATGATTACAATTATTAAAGAAGTCACCACAGAAAGTATCCATACTAGCATAGCTGGGTACTACGTCATACTTGGTGCTTTTTGTAGTGAATGTGTAACTTTTAGTTGATGATTTCTAACATAATTTTGTATAAAAGATGCCTTATTTGTTTTGTTTTTAACTTAGAAAATGTTATTATATTTAGGAATGTACATTCACATGTAAATAAATTACAAAATTGTTCGTTACAAATGCAAAAGTTTGAAAGCATTTTTTTAGGGTCACTTTTTCAAGTGTTTGTTACAACTCGTTCATTTCTTAATAACTGAATAGTTGTAATGTTTGAAACTGTTTATATTAAGAACAAAGACCAAACTATAGCATAAGTTAAGATTTATAGCCCATTGTGCCTCAGGTGTCGTCGATATTGAAGTACAAAATGTGCCTTTTTTTGTGCCTGTTTCGGGTCATCTTAAGTGGCCCACATTATTGTAGAGCTTGTGGTGTGAAAAAACTGTACGTAGAGTTGTGTTTTTTTTATTCATTATTGTAAAGTGTGTTATCGTATAGTAAATGAAGTAAATATTTATTGAAATAATTGCTTAATTTTTTAATGATTACATTTTATATTCAACAAACTAGAAAAAAATCGCTTCTAGCAATTTTACCACCAAATTTATAACATACCAAAAGGGTGAACGTACACATTTACACATATTCTATTAGCTTATTTAACAATAATTCTAACAACATATCATATTATATAGTTCCCATACATAAATATTAAGATATTGCCATTTTAATGACACGCGCCACGTAGGCAATATAACACTCGTTTAGGGTTTGACAGATGCGCCAAAGCAGCTATTTTGGCCCGGACTGCTGAGAGGTTAAGGATAAGAAGGGGTATATTCCAGGGCGACTGTCTGAGTCCAATCTGGTTCTGCCTCTCTTTGAACCCTCTCACTGCTTTACTGGAGGGCTCCGGGAGGGGATTTCAGTTTCGGAAAGGAGGTGCAAAAGTAATCCACCTTTTCTATATGGATGACCTCAAGTTATTCGCCTCCAGTCGCTCCCATCTTATGGAATTGCTAAACATCACTTGTGAATTTAGCAATTCTATTAGAATGGAGCTGGGGACGGATAAGTGTGCGGTCCTCCATGTTGAAAGGGGAAGGGTTGCTAACTCTGAGGGCATAGACTTATCTATGCCCGTCAACTTAAGGGCCCTTTCCGAGGCTGAAACATACCGATACCTGGGTATGTCACAGAACATCGGTATCGATGAGGCTGGTATGAAACAGTCAGTTTGCGACGTGTTTTATGCACGCTTGACCAAAGTGCTTAACAGCCTTTTGTCCAGTGTGAATAAGACACATGCATATAAAGGTTGGGTAATGCCTGTCCTCATGTATACCTTTGGCATACTCAGGTGGAGTCAGACTGAACTTAACGCCCTGGATAGAAAAGTCCGCACTACAATGACGTCCCATAAGATGCATCATCCGAGATCGTCGATAATGAGGCTGTACTTGCCGCGAAAGCATGGTGAGCGTGGCTTTCTGAGCGCGCTCACCATGCATAATTGCGAAGTGTGCAGCCTCCGTCATTACTTCCTGGCGAGATCGGATGATCCATTCTATAATGACGTCATTTCTAATGATAAAGGACTTACCCCTCTATCCTTAGCCAACGAGCAATGGCAAGACCCGGCAGTACAGAGCATTTCCAACCGGGAGACCGTATGGAAGGAGAAGGAGCTCCACGGGAGGTACTACAGGGCTCTACATGAGCCTCACGTAAGTACAGCTGCCTCCCTCAACTGGCTACGTTTCGGTGACCTCTTCGGGGAAACCGAGGGTTTTGTCTGTGCAATACAGGATCAGGTTATTAAGACCAACAACTATCGGAGATACATCCTAAAGGATGGCACTGTCGACGTCTGTCGAGCTTGTCGCCATCCCGGGGAGTCACTTAGGCATGTCATATCCGGTTGTTCGGCGCTTTCTAACTCTGAGTACTTGCACAGGCACAACCTAGTAGCCAGAATTCTACACCATGAGCTCGCTCTGAAATACGGTCTCGTGGACCGAAAATTGCCGTATTACAAGTACTTGCCGGAAGCCGTGCTCGAAAATGACCACGCCAAGCTCTACTGGGACCGGCTCATCATCACAGACAGGACTATTCTTGTAAATAAGCCTGATATTTATTTATTTATTTATTCTTTTTTGTACACCACAATACAGAAACATCAATACAGTTAAAACTAATTAAAGTATGTACAATAGGCGGTCTTATCACTGAATGTGATTTCTTCCAGACAACCTTTGCGTAGAGGAATGATGCAAACAAAAGTTACAAAAAGAGGGGGGGCATACAAAATAATAATAATAAAACACAATAATACATACAAATAAAAGTAAGTGAAAGTTATATATAAAATATCATATAATAGATTAAATGAAAAGAGTAAGAGAAAGGTAAAGTAATTTATCTAATAGCGTTCTAAATAATACGATTTAACAAGAATTTTGAAAGAGTGAAGAGATTTAGCACGACGAATATGTAGAGGTAAGGAGTTCCACAGTCGCACAGCGGTTACGGTGAAGGATTTCTTGAAAAAGGAAGAAGAGTGCAAAGGTGTAGAGAGAGAAAGATTGAAGGAGGATCGAAGGAACCGATTATGGGTAAGAGGAAGATACTGGAAACGGTTTTTTAAATAAAGAGGAGTAGAAGGATTAAACAGCACACTATACAACGCGGAGAGAATGTGAGTATTCCTGCGAAGGCGGATCGGGAGCCATTTGAGCTGTTTGCGAAATTCGGAGATATGATCATATTTGCGAAGCCCAAATATAAATCTAATGCATAAATTTTGAATGCGCTCAAGCTTATTAAGCTGCTCCTCGGTAATGTCAAGATAGCAAATATCAGCATAGTCAAGGATAGGCAGAAGAAGAGACTGGGCGAGCGTAACTTTAGTTGCTGTGGGAAGGAAATTACGTAATCTACGTAAAGAGCTTAACGCAGCAAACATTTTTCTACTGACCTCATTAACCTGTGAGGTCCAAGACATACAGGAGTCAAGATACAACCCCAGGTTTTTAACCTTGTTACTGTAAGGGATTAGAGTGCAGTCTAGTATAATAGGGGGTAGGGGAGACCAGTCAATTTTACCAATTAATCTAGAACTACCGATGACAATGACCTGAGTTTTCTTAGGATTAATCGTTAAACCATAACATTTACTCCAATTCGATATACAAGTCAGATCAGCGTTAATAGTGTCAACTGCTTTAGATAGATCTTCAAGAGAGGACTGAGTATAGATTTGGAGATCATCAGCATACAAGTGGTAGGAAGAGGACAAATTACGACTTATAGAGTTAATGAAAATCTCAAAAAGGAGAGGAGACAACACGCCACCTTGTGGTACACCAACAGCTGTAGTAATCCAGGTGGAAAAAACCTCTTGCACCTGAATTCGCTGTCGGCGACCAAACAAGTAACTTCGAAACCAGTCAACTACAGTTGGAGATATGTTGAGAGAGCGTAGGATGCTTAACAAGATATCAAAATCTACAGTATTAAATGCGTTACTAAAATCAAGCAACGTGAGAATAGTAAGCTTTTGTTTCTCCATACCATACCGAATATCATCAGTGATTTGTAAAAGTGCAGTAGTCGTACTATGGCCAGGACGGAAACCGGATTGCAAGGGATTTAAAAGATTGTGTTTTAAAAGATAGTTGCTTAATTGATTGTGCACAAGACGTTCTAGAACTTTGGAAAAGAAAGGCAAAATGGAGATAGGTCTATAATCGGAAAAACTAGAGGGATTTGACTTTTTCGGAAGAGGAACTACAAATGCGTCTTTCCAAGCTGAAGGGAAAAAAGCAGAATTCAGTGATTTATTCAGGATAGACGTGATTATAGGTAAAAGGAGATCAATGAGAGGGATGACCATTTTCCGACTAATGCAGTCACTACCAATCGAATTTGAATGGATGGACATTATGGCTCTCTTAACATCACAACTGTTAAATTGGCTAAAATTAAAAGCAGGGGTGTCCGGAGTGGGAGCTTTTGAAAGAGAATCTAAAGTATTATGTTTTGCTTTATCGTTAATGCAAGACGAAGATGAGAAATGCAAATTAAGTTGATTGAGATCAAGGTTATGGTGTGTGAGATTTTGCCGTAATTTCCCAACTCCTAAGGACTTAAGAAATTTCCAGACCTTAGCAGGATCAGGATCTTGTACTGATTCATGGATAAGGCGTGCTTTTCTACACAGATTGTTGCAACGATTCCGTACTAGTCTATACTTCTCTCTATTCAAATCGCTAGGGACTGACTTGTATTTAGCTTTGGCACAATTTTTAATGTGGATGATTTTTTTTATATCATCGGTCAGCCAAGGAGAGGGAGGATGCTTTACACGCACTGGACGAACAGGAGCATGAACGTCGTAAAGTTGAATTAACAGAGAGTTGAACAAAGCAACCTGTTCATCAACAGTAGACGCATTGACGACTACACTCCAATCAATCTTTACAGCGTCATTTAAAAGCTGCTCCAAATCCAAGTCACTAAAGTTACGCTGAAGTAGTATCCTTGACTTAGCTTTAGGGGGACGGATTTTTATGACAAGTACAAAAGGTCGTGATAGGAAAAAGAATCAGCAGCATGTTGCCCAAATTTAAGAACATGGTCAGGTAAAGACACAAACATTATGTCGAGAAGAGAAGGGGCACAGTTCGGGAAAAAGTGTGTGGCAGAAGTAGGAAGAAGTTTTAAATTTGCTGCTTCAATAATAGATTTAAGTTTTATTGATCTAGCGTTGTTTTTTAAAAGACAGGTATTAAAATCACCCATAATAATACTGTGACAATAGATAGGTGTAAGATTGTCAAGAATATTTTCTAACGTGGTGAAGTAGTCGACAGTGAGAGAGGGACTGTAAAAAACTCCAAGAAGTAATTTTGTATGACCAAGAAGAACTTCGATAAAGAGAAAGAAATTCAGCTTCGTTTCCAGTCTGCGAACCATTTGAAACTTGAATTACTGAAAAAGGTATATGTGAGCGCAGATAAATAGCAACACCACCACCGCCCCGATCGGTACGGTCGTTACGAATCAAATGAAAACCTGGAAGCGAGTAGGAAGTTGATGGAAGACATGGTTTTAACCACGACTCCGAAACAAGGATAGCGTGTATGTTTTTGCTATTAAAACTTGACAACATGTCGGGGTAATGAGCAGGAATACTTTGAGCATTTATGTGAATAGCGTTGAAGTTTTTGTTAGATTCAGAAAAAGTTGAATCTAACATAATATTTAAGGGTTCAATGCTTTCAAAGCTGTCAATACTGCTTAATCCATCAGAGGCAGAATCAAAGGCTTCAAAACCAAAAAATTATATCTGATTACTAAATATATGTAAAACTAAGTAAATATGTATTATTATATGTATGTATTATAATATATATAATTATAAAATAAATAATTCAAAAATAAATAAGTCATCAGTAAACTACCTGCCAGCATTATGGAAAGAAATGTTTAATTCACTTAACAATAAGTGAAGAAACGGAACGTTAACACACCATAGACACAAAAGTGAGAGGTCTTAATGCACAAACTAATAAGAGTACTAACGTACAGACGACAATCTTCCATACTAAAAAATTGGTCTATAGCAGCCTCAAAAATTGAAAGTGACATTTACGTTTTTAAATTTATCTAAGGCAAAGGTATTTATTTTTTTCAGCCTAGTGGCCAGTGGCTGTAAAAATCCTTAGAACTTTGAAATTTTTTTTTTTTGGTTTAAACTTATGTACGTGTTCACAACGTAACCACGTACATAAATTTAAACCGTTATTAACGTTTATTTAGATATAAAGAAATAAAATACAGAAATATTTATTACGTCTTTTGATTTTTACATTTCAGTGTAAATTTACAAGTGCAAGCAAATTCTTTCCCTCTAGGCGCAAAACATCAATTTCTGTTAAATATTGCCACAGCCATTGAAACCTTTATAATTACAATCTAATTTTTTATCGAAGGAACTGATGGTTCTTTGCACATAGGTCACATATTCAATTCAAATTATGTAACAACTTTTCTCAAATTTTTCTCCTTGTAGTATTTATGGTTTGTGCTTGTTGCTCCCCCATTTACCAAATATGCAGCAATATCTACTTAATAGCCGAGTACTCTTAGGCAGTTTTCAACCTGCAACAAAAATAAAATTAATATAATAAAATAGTAATAATAAAATTAATATAATAAAATAGGAATAATAAAATAGTAGCATTTTATTTAAGATTGTGTGAGTATTGCAAAGGTTCTTTTTAGATACAATCAGTCACTAAGGGTTAATTTTTCAATGGTCACATATAAGTTATTCATAAAACAAAATCCAACATAAATGAGAATTACAATTGAATTAATAAAATAGTTCAATTGTTTGACTTCACATCAGCTTGTAAACAATCTACTATTGTACTTGGCAGATTAGCATTCACATTCTACTTTTTTTGTCGCCAGTTTAGATATTAGATACGGCTATATTTTTACATAACATAGCAGATTAATAATCTTAAGTGGCAATGGACCGTCAATTTAGCTCGAAGAACCGACAACCAATAGAGAAGAAAGGTTCTCAAGAGGCAGCCTTGTACCGGTAGCCAAAGTGTAGGGCAGCCCCCCACTAGATGGAGTGACAGACTGAGTCTGGAGTGAAGATATACAGGAAGTCGATAGATGCTGGTGGCTCAGGACTGTGCTTTGTGGTATTCCTTGGGGGAGGCTAATGTTCAGCTATGGACTTATTAAGGGCTGTAATGATGATGATAAAGTAAGTTTTGTTAACAGTAGAATAAAAGGAAACAAAACCATTAAAAGCGAAACAAGTTTTTATAAAACTCATACAGATATTATCCCATTTAAATTTCTCACTTTTAACTTCCAATATTTTCAGTGCTTTGCAGCACCCATAACACCTATGACCATTATAACAGGTTGATTCAACATGTATTTGTATTCTTTGTCAGATGTTAAGTCAACTGTCAGAAATGCAGCTGTTTTGATGGAACTAATACGGAATGCTTTGTTTCCAGTAAAAAGTCTCCAGATGTCTACACTTATCATACAAAACACAGCAGCATTAGGCTGCTATTTTACGTGGGCATTTAATGAGAGTGTGATTCTACCCTAGTCGAGTTGATTCATACTACCACCATAATAAAGCTTCATGTGGTATATGACTACAACACATGATGTTAGTCAATCAATCAATCAACTTTTATTTGCCAACCAAGTGTACATAAATGGTCTTATAATAATAACAATAACAAATCTTTATTTAGGCATTGCAAATTTGAGAAAGTATAGATAAAATAAATTATTAAATACAAACATTATAGAGAAATTAGATTAATGATCAATAATATAGATCATATTATAGATCAAAGAATATATTTTACGTGGTAGAGCCATGCTTCAATTACATTAGTAGTATAGTTGTAGCACGAATGGGTCGGCTCGACCGGGGAAGGACCACGCTCTCACAGAATACCAGCGTGAAATAGTAGCTTAATGCTGCTGTATTTCGTATGGTGAGTGTAGAGAACCGGAGACCCTTTTTACTGGAAATGAGGCATTCCATCTTAGTCCTCACGGGTGACAACGTATCTGCATTTTGATTCGTAATCGAGGATAGATGTAGATGTCTATGGGCCGCAGCAACCACTTACCATCAGGTGGACTGTGTGCTCGTTTGTCACCCTATCCTATAAAAAAAAAAAAAAAAAAAATATAGTCTAATAAATGAACAATAATAAATCATGCAAAATACAAAGGTATTTGTGACATTTTACATAAACACATAATTTTTCTTCTACTGATACTGTTCATAATATTACTGTGTTTCAGAACGGCTTTTTCTTTTTTTATGTATTTTATTTGTGTTAAAAATATGTAATTTGTTATTTGTGTTTTGTTACTAGTGCTTCAATGTATTCTTTGATTGAGTAGAAACATTTTTCAATTAAATAATAATAATGCTTTTAGTTTTTTAATGAATAGTATAATCTTATTTTCAGTTTTTATGTGGATATGTAATTTATTGTAAATGTTGTGTTTTTACAGCCATGTAGTAGCAACTCTGGTTTAGCATTTTAATTCTTGATGGTGGTAGGTATAGTTTGTCTCTGTGGTGTGTATTGAAATAGTGGTTGTCTTTTATTTATTGCATTTACGTGTGGTTTTGTATGATAAATTACAGCACATGAACCCAGCAAGGGTATAACAATATGAAATAAAGCTAGCTAGCTCTAATACCTTAATTCTAATACTAATATTTATATTATTATAGTATTTAGTGCATATTCCATTACTATATTTATTTATTTACTTTAACTTAACATCATAATCATCTAATTTATAGTAACATTTCTTAATCAAAAAGCTATTTACTGCTATCACAAACATCTTATATTCTTCTATTTCTATTATATCTTTAAGTAATGTATTATATAGTTTAACTGCCATGGAATATGGTCCAGAACTGTATAAAAATAAAGTGGTTTTAAGCAATATTGATAATATATTTCTCTTCGTAAGTTGTATATTACATCTATTTATATTATCGTCACTAGCTTTTTGAAATATATCTTAGCATTTTCTTACTAATTTTCATGATTCTAATATGTATAAAGATGTAACTGTTAATATCTTGTATTGTATAAAATATAGTCTACAGCTTCCCTAGTCAATATTTACTAGAACTCTTATTTTGACATTTGATACATTTTTACTTTTGAGAGGTGATTTATGTTCTTGAGAACAAATATGAAAATATCAAATATGTATAATGACAGTAGTGTGAGGATGTTAGTTTAAAAAGTAGGGCCTACAATTGTCAAGATCTTGTAATCAACTCGCCTGCCAAGTTTGAAAACCAAGGCATATACACTACTCTTGCGGCAACTATGACAAAATCTTCCCTAAGTGGCAATCTATGGGGAATGCTTATAGTCAGCAGCAGGCTTTCATAGGATGTATATTTATAGGAATAATGAATTAAGAAAAAATAAATAGAAAAATTACTGACCGGTCGTGATCTCAGCTTCTGTAAACAACGTGAGATATGCATCCTGGTAAGGTAGTTACTTTGATCTTCGATCCTGGTGAATACCAGATTTATTCTGGATAACAAATCGCAGCTCAGTGTCGATAGCACACATCATCATCATCAGCAGCAGTCCACTGCTGGAAATAGGCCTCTCACAAGGCGCGCCACTTAGCCCGATCTTCGTCTACACGCATTCAGTTTTTATCAGCCACCTTGCGCAGGTCGTCGCTCCATCTGGTCAGAGAGAGAGGCGTCCCACCCTACGCCTAGACGCGGTCTTCACTCCATAACACATATATAATAAAAAGTAGCACACATGCAACTTATTATTATGTAAGTTCTTGTACATAGATTACTGTATTTATTTATGTTCTTGTAAATAACCTTTGAATTTTTTACATATTTAACTTTATGTCGTCGCGTAATGGCGACCACGAGAATCGCGCCACCATCGACCTGCAGCGCAAGGTCCCGCACAATGACACTACACCCACACAAATTGGGACAAACCCTGTTGGATTCAGATGCTTATCATGGAACAATCTCCAAGTGAAAGTACCAACACCAAGGAGATAAATGTTCTTTTTAAAAGTAATTTATATTTTTTTTATAGTATAAGGGTGACAAACGAGCACACAGTCCACCTGATGGTAAGTGGTTGCTGTGGCCTATAGACATCTACATCTATCTTCGATTATGAATCAAAATGTAGATGCATTGTCACCCGTGAGGACTAAGATGGAATGCCTCGTTTCCAGTTAAAAGGGGTCTCCGGTTCTCTACACTCACCATACGAAACACAGCAGCGTTAAGCTGCTATTTTACGCTGGTATTCTCTGACAGTTTGGTCCCTCCCCGGTCGAGCCGACCCATTCGTGCTAATACTATACCAGTAATATACCTGCAGCATGGCTCTACCACGTACAATTGCCATATAACTTAGTTATATGATAATATAGATCACTTTTGAATTATGATTATACTAAACTGTCGTTAACAGTAGCCATACAGCATTAATACATACAATACAGAAGTATTCATTATATATTTATTCTTTAATTTTGGGTTTATGTATAAGAACAAAGTTCACAAATATTGTTGGTTTTCAGAAACAGAAATCTAATGCTGATGTGGTGAGACAAATGTTGACAGAAGATACAAAATGTACACATTGGCAAAAAGGTATGATAAATTCAGTTTATTCTTAACATTAGGTAAGTTTCAACATATCTTCATTCATCAAGAGTTCTTTGTTCTTCATCAAATCTAAAGATTACAGTTCCACTACACTTCAATGGTTTTATCAACAACTCCTTTAGTATTGCGAAATGGCGAATGCCGCGCGACCCTTGGTGGGGCGTGGACAGAAACGTCAAAACAAACGTCAATCTAAATCCGTAGCTACATATTTATATATTTGTAGTCAATAGCTGTCAAAATCGATTTTTGAGGGCCATAGACATAAGGCTAGGAATATTTATATAGAGATTACCACCCGTGTCTTAATGTCAGATGAGTCAAAGTGTCAAAGTTACAGTACGTTAACTAGCAATTATCTACCTTACAATATACTTTTATCACTAATACTAAACATTCCAAAGAAAGATTACAATAACAGTTACCAACATACAAGAAAAATTATAACACTAAATAATAAACATTCCAAAGAGAGATTATTAATCATTACATTTTGCTATCTGATCTACAATTAACAAGGAAAGGTAATGAAGATATAATGATAAAAAGAAAACTAAAATATGAAGTCCAGAGAAAAGTTATAACAGAATTACAAAATTAATAAAATATAAAATAAAATTATTTACGAAAAAGTTCATTTTTTACCGGCCCTCTTAGTACGCTGTGGTGCACCTTTATCTTCGGGGGCCTTATTTGCCTCAACCACAATAGGATAAACGGGTGAAGCAGAAGTTGACCCGTTGCATAATGTTGATCTCGCCAGGAAGTAATGACGGAGGCTGCACACTTCGCAATTATGCATGGTGAGCGCGCTCAGAAAGCCACGCCCACCATGCTTTCGCGGCAAGTACAGCCTCATTATCGACGATCTCGGATGATGCATCTTATGGGACGTCATTGTAGTGCGGACTTTTCTATCCAGGGCGTTAAGTTCAGTCTGACTCCACCTGAGTATGCCAAAGGTATACATGAGGACAGGCATTACCCAACCTTTATATGCATGTGTCTTATTCACACTGGACAAAAGGCTGTTAAGCACTTTGGTCAAGCGTGCATAAAACACGTCGCAAACTGACTGTTTCATACCAGCCTCATCGATACCGATGTTCTGTGACATACCCAGGTATCGGTATGTTTCAGCCTCGGAAAGGGCCCTTAAGTTGACGGGCAAAGATAAGTCTATGCCCTCAGAGTTAGCAACCCTTCCCCTTTCAACTTGGAGGACCGCACTCTTATCCGTCCCCAGCTCCATTCTAATAGAATTGCTAAATTCACAAGTGATGTTTAGCAATTCCATAAGATGGGAGCGACTGGAGGCGAATAACTTGAGGTCATCCATATAGAAAAGGTGGATTACTTTTGCACCTCCTTTCCGAAACTGAAATCCCCTCCCGGAGCCCTCCAGTAAAGCAGTGAGAGGGTTCAAAGAGAGGCAGAACCAGATTGGACTCAGACAGTCGCCCTGGAATATACCCCTTCTTATCCTTATGCGGCTTTCCGCTGCCGTCATCCGCTCACCTAGATGACAGAGGATCGTACTCCACTGCCCCATACACTGCTCGAGGAAGTCTCGAACTGTACAGTCAATATTGTACAGCTCGAGGACCCTCTTTAGCCATGTATAGGGCACCGAGTCAAATGCCTTTCTGTAATCTATCCAGGCTGCGGAGAAGTTCCGACGGTTGCGTTTCACCACTTTGCCAATGACCGCGTCAATGAGGAGTGGTTCCTTTGTTCCACGACCGCCGCCCCGACATCCATTTTGAGCGCGCGACATCACCTGATTAGAGTCCAGGTGACGAGCGATTCTCGCGCTCAAAATGGATGTTAGTGTCTTGTATATGGTCGGTAGACACGTGATGGGGTGGTATTTGCTCGGGTCTGTGGCATCCTGATCTTTAGGAACCAAATGAGTGATCCCAGTAGTGAAGAGGCTTGGGAGCGACTTCTGGTTGAGAGCCTCTTGAAACTGTCGGGCGAGCACAGCGTGACACACCATGAACCCCTTCAGCCAGTAGTGATGCAGCCCGTCAAGCCCCGGACTTTTCCAGTTCGGGGCCCTACGGACCGCCTCAGCTACGTCATCCGGCGTTATGATGACGGGGTCCATGGGCGTAATACCCGTACACTGCCTCGCCACAACTTCCGTCCAGGGGCCCTCGTTGTGGTTTACGGGCTCTGACCACAGGCCGCGCCAGAATGCTACAGTGTCGGCCCGATTCGGTGCTGGACCCGTTCCACTTACCATTGGTCGCTCCAATGATTCATAGAGCCTCTTCTGATCACTCTGGAAGAGACGATTCTGGTTGAACCGTGTCGACCTCTCGGTATATTGCCGAATCCGCTTTCCCCAAGCAGCGATTCTCTGCTTCAGAGCATCTATGCGCTCCGTCAGTTTTTGCGTTATATCCGGCTGGGACAAACTGACATTTGTCCCAGCAAACGCCATCCTGACGGTGCGCACAATTCTTGGCCTGTTGTTGCCTGATCTGAAGCATATCAGTCTGCCGATGAGAGCTCTAGCCTTTGCGATACGTTCCTCAATTCTTCTTCTCCATGCTGGGATAGCGCTACTATGGCCAGTAGCGCGTCCAGCCGTGGAAACCTTGGCGCCTATGATACGGCAGACTGCCAGCGCGGCGCCAAAAAGAATTGAATCCGTCTCGCAAAGGTCCCGGCTGGCTTCCAAATAGGTCACCAGCATTGGGTTCAGAGCCCTCACGACAGCCCGATTCCGCTTGCTTAGGGCTATGCGGGGAAGTCGCGGTCGATTTTCGAGAGGCGTACTGCGCGTTTCCACAATCGCCTCTTCCAATGTACTCCTCATATGCTCTAATTCCAGTTCCTGGGCGACTGTTCCATCATCGTTTGAATCAACCACAACTGGGGTATTCACGGCGGCATCCACGTTTGCGGGTTGCTCTACCATTTGTGGCGCCGCATCCTCAGCCGTAGCATTCTCATCCGACGAGGGAACAGCCTCACGTCGTAGCCGTTCGAGTTCGGCGACATCAAATATATTTGAGCGCAAGATATATATATATTATTATTATATATTATTATATTATTATTACATGTATACGCGAGTCGTTACAGATCGTTGTCAATTTCACTCACCATCTGCAACTTCAGTATCGGTTTTTTCGAGTGTGCACCCACTTTATTGTTTAAAACCTTTATTAGCCTTTTCAGTTCTTCTCTATGCTCTTTGATGACTGGGTGTAGTTTTACAAGATCTGCATTTTTACTCTGGACGGAAAATACTTCTTCCAAGCTGTGGTCATAGTTTGCGACGGGCTGTTTTCCGCAACTCCACGTCTATGCGCGTATTTTGCGTGTGGGCAGGAATAATGTGATTATTCGAGCCATGAGATCTCCCCGAAGAAGCTCAACAGTCCCTTGATGTTGCATGCAACTTCGGGGAGTGATCCAGGCGTGCCGAGATGTTTAGCCCTGTACGTAGCGACCTCCGGACATTTCAGTAGCACGTAGGCCGCCGTTTCTTCCTCCCCCATACATGCCCTGCACAGGGGACTATCTGTAACACCTATAGTAAATAAATGTTTGTTAAAGGTGCCGTGTCCTGTGATAGCACTAGTTACTATCCTGATCTGCGGCTTGTTCAGTCTCATTAGAACTTTGGTTAAGCGACTGTTTATTACAGGTAGGGCCTCCCTAGCTTGTCTACAGTCTACTAGATTTTTCCAAAGCTGAGCGTGTTGATTAGTGAAGTGTCTACGTACCATTGAACGAACGTTACCAAAGGGGATTGGTATGATTGGTTCCGGCCCTATAGTGGCCGGAGCCGATCCTCTTCTGGCCAGTTCGTCCGCTGCATCGTTGCCTCTGGATCCACTGTGTCCCTTTATCCATTGCAGAGTCACATTGTTGTTTTTACATACCTCATTTAATCGTTGATGGCATTCATATATTAGTCCCGAGTTCACCCCATTGCAACTCAGAGCTTGTAGTACCGCCCTACTGTCGGTCAGTATTCTGATGGGGAAGTCATTAACCTTCCTAGCATCTATTGCTATGGCCGCTTGAATGATACCCATACATTCCGCCTGAAAGACCGTGTTATAGGTACCCAGCGGTGTGCATATGTGAATATTGAGGTCTTCAGAGAAAGCTCCAGAACTTACACCTTCATTTGTTTTAGAACCATCGGTGAAAATTCTAAGCTCTTTTGGGCTTAATCCTTCCGGCTGGCTGTTTTCATTTAATTGTATCTTGTATTTCTTATCGAAAACAAATTGTTTAGGAACCCTATCGTATTTGGCTTGTAGGATAGGAATTTCTGAGTGAATTCTATCAATTATGCCTGTATGAGGGACACTATTCCTACTCCAAAGATTTAGGGTCTTGAGTCTGATGGCAGCTAAAGTCGCTTCTTGTTGTATATGTAGATGAAGCGGAGTTAGCTCCAGCATCGCTTCCAAGGCTGCTGTTGGCGTAGTTCTTATGCAGCCTGTGGCAGCCATACATGCCAGTCTCTGGTAGCGCTGAAGCTTCTTAATTGTGGTGGCTTCATTGGTCTTGGTCCACCATACCAGAGCGCCGTATGTGATCATGGGCCGAATTACAGTTTTGTAAAGCCACAGTATGATTTTTGGCGTCAGTCCCCATCTTTTGCCAATCATGTTTCTGCATTGCCAGAAAGTTATACTAGCTTTGTTGATTTTGTTTTCTATGTGTTTATTCCAGTTAAGTTTGCTGTCCAAGGTAAGACCTAAATATTTTACCTCAGAGGATAGCTGGAGTTTTGTGCTGAAAAGACTTGGAAGATGATAGTTATTCAGCATTCGTTTTTGTGTGAACATTACTAAAACCGTTTTATTTGGGTTGACGGTTAAGTCGTATTCCCTGCACCATCTCTCCACTATACGGAGAGCCGCTTGGGTTAGGTCGCACACTATGCTAGCTGTCTTTCCCGAGACCAGTATAGTCAGGTCATCAGCATAACCTACTGTATAAAAGTGATTAGTATTTAATTTGCTGATGAGTTCATTAATGACCATATTCCACAGGAGAGGTGAGAGGACCCCACCCTGCGGGCAACCTTTCTTAATTAGGATTGGTTGAGATTCACCAGCAATCTTTATTATTCGTGTACTGAGCATGCATACTATCCAGTCGATCAGTGCCGGTTCAACTTTATGTCTACTGAGTGCACCTTTTATGCTGGAGAAGTTTGTTCTGTCAAAAGCACCTTCTATATCTATGAAGGAACCTAGACATATTTCTTTGTTTTGGATGGCCTCTTCAATCTTTGTAATTACCTGATGAAGTGCCGATTCTGTTGATTTGCCTAGACTGTAGGCGTGTTGCTTGTCGTGTAGTGGTAAGAACTAAACTTATATTGTATTTTCGAGCACGGCTTCCGCCAAGTACTTGTAATACGGCACTTTCCGGTCCACGAGACCGTATTTCAGAGCGAGCTCCTGGTGTAGAATTCTGGCTACTAGGTTGTGCGTGTGCAAGTACTCAGAGTTAGAAAGCGCCGAACAACCGGAGATGACATGCCTAAGTGACTCACCTATTATTATTATTATATGGGGTATCTATATAGTTTTCTCATCTGGTTGGGATGTATAAATAAATAATTATAAATGAAAATGAAAAGATAAATATACATAAATATCAATAAAATTAAATAAATACAAAAATACATAAATAAATAAAAGCTCAACCAGATGGAAACCCTCGGCAGGGGAGACCAAACGGCCAAGGGTTAGGGGGAAGGGAAAGAAACCGGCGGACCATGCGGGCAGTATCAAGGAGCACCGCCTTCTGCATTTGAGCCCGGAGCGGTCCGTCACGGAGTTCCAGTCGCCTCAGATGACCAGAGAGGCTAACTGGGATTAGCACATTCCCAGAGACGACTACAGGGATAATTTCGGTCGGCAGACCACCCCACATGTCGGTCACCTCGTGAGCCAGGTCCAGATATATTATTATTATTGGGGTATCTATATAATTTTCTTACCTGGTTGGGTTCTATAAATATATAATTATAAATTAAGATGAAAAGATAAATATACATAAATATAATAAAATAAAATAAACACAAAAACTACATAAATAAATTAGATCCAACCAGATGGGAGCCCTCGGCAGGGGAGACCAAGCGGCCGAGGGTTAGGGGGAAAGGGAAAGAAACCGGCGGACGATGCGGGCGGTATCGAGGAGCACCGCCTTCTGAATTTGAGCTCGGAGCGGTCCGTCACGGAGTCCCAGTCGCCTCAGATGACCCGAGAGGCTGACTGGGATTAGCCCATTCGCAGAGACGACTACAGGGATAATTTCGGTCGGCAGACCACCCCACATGTCGGTCACCTCGTGAGCCAGGTCCAGATATTTTGTTCGTTTATCTGTTTCGGCTTTCACGAGGTTCTCGTCATACGGAATGGTAATGTCGATCAAAAATATCCTTGACTGTGCCCGGTCCATCAGCACAATATCAGTTAACCGTCAACCCAAATAAAACGGTTTTAGTAATGTTCACACAAAAACGAATGCTGAATAACTATCATCTTCCAAGTCTTTTCAGCACAAAACTCCAGCTATCCTCTGAGGTAAAATATTTAGGTCTTACCTTGGACAGCAAACTTAACTGGAATAAACACATAGAAAACAAAATCAACAAAGCTAGTATAACTTTCTGGCAATGCAGAAACATGATTGGCAAAAGATGGGGACTGACGCCAAAAATCATACTGTGGCTTTACAAAACTGTAATTCGGCCCATGATCACATACGGCGCTCTGGTATGGTGGACCAAGACCAATGAAGCCACCACAATTAAGAAGCTTCAGCGCTACCAGAGACTGGCATGTATGGCTGCCACAGGCTGCATAAGAACTACGCCAACAGCAGCCTTGGAAGCGATGCTGGAGCTAACTCCGCTTCATCTACATATACAACAAGAAGCGACTTTAGCTGCCATCAGACTCAAGACCCTAAATCTTTGGAGTAGGAATAGTGTCCCTCATACAGGCATAATTGATAGAATTCACTCAGAAATTCCTATCCTACAAGCCAAATACGATAGGGTTCCTAAACAATTTGTTTTCGATAAGAAATACAAGATACAATTAAATGAAAACAGCCAGCCGGAAGGATTAAGCCCAAAAGAGCTTAGAATTTTCACCGATAGTTCTAAAACAAATGAAGGTGTAGGTTCTGGAGCTTTCTCTGAAGACCTAAATATTCACATATGCACACCGCTGGGTACCTATAACACGGTCTTTCAGGCGGAATGTATGGGTATCATTCAAGCGGCCATAGCATTAGATGCTAGGAAGGTTAATGACTTCCCCATCAGAATACTGACCGACAGTAGGGCGGTACTACAAGCTCTGAGTTGCAATGGGGTGAACTCGGGACTAATATATGAATGCCATCAACGATTAAATGAGGTATGTAAAAACAACAATGTGACTCTGCAATGGATAAAGGGACACAGTGGATCCAGAGGCAACGATGCAGCGGACGAACTGGCCAGAAGAGGATCGGCTCTGGCCACTATAGGGCCGGAACCAATCATACCAATCCCCTTTGGTAACGTTCGTTCAATGGTACGTAGACACTTCACTAATCAACACGCTCAGCTTTGGAAAAATCTAGTAGACTGTAGACAAGCTAGGGAGGCCCTACCTGTAATAAACAGTCGCTTAACCAAAGTTCTAATGAGACTGAACAAGCCGCAGATCAGGATAGTAACTAGTGCTATCACAGGACACGGCACCTTTAACAAACATTTATTTACTATAGGTGTTACAGATAGTCCCCTGTGCAGGGCATGTATGGGGGAGGAAGAAACGGCGACCTACGTGCTACTGAAATGTCCGGAGGTCGCTACGTACAGGGCTAAACATCTCGGCACGCCGGGATCACTCCCCCGAAGTTGCATGCAACATCAAGGAA